ACACAATAGATCGCATTTCCAAAACCTCCTTCTTACCCCAAACCTACACCCCTACAGTGATACTAAATCCAAATTTCAGGATTCCAACTTTATCGGTTGACCCACAATTCAAATTGTAATAAATTTAGTACACAGTAGTACGAATTTCCAAAACTTCCTACTTAAACCAAACCTTCACTCCCAGAGTGATACTAAATCCAAGTTTCAGGATTCCAACTCTATCGGTTCACCCACAATTTAAATTGTACCAAATTTAGTACATAGTAGTACCAATTTCCAAAACATGCTACATACCCTAATTCTACACCTCCACGGTGATCCTAAATCAAATTTTCAGGATTCCAACTCTATCGGTGCACCCACAATTCAAATTGTTCCAAATTTAGTAAACATTAGTACCAATTTCCAAATCTTCCTACATACTCCAATTCTACACCTCCACAGTGATCCTGAATCAAAATTTCAGGATTCAAACTTTATCGCTTCACCCACAATTTAAATTATACCAAATTTAGTACACATTAGTACAAATTTCTAAAACTTCCTACATATTTCAAGCTTACACCTCAACAGTGATCCTGACTCCAAATTTCATGATTCAAGCTCTATTGGTTCAGCTAAAATTGAAATTGTACCAAATTTAGTACCATTTAGTACTATTTTCTATTATTCTACAATGATCTATTCTATTATATATTCTACAATGATCCTAACTCCAAACGTCATTGTTCCAGCTCTATCGCTTCACCCAAATCCAAATTGTACCAATTATAGTACGATTTAGTACTTTTTGTACACATAAGTAAAAATGTCCAAAACTACGTACATATCCCAATCCTACACTCCGACGGTAATGTTAATTTCAATTTTCAGGATCCCAGCTCGATTTGTACCTCCAAATCAAATTTGTACCAAATATAGTACCATATAGTACTTTTCGTACACATGAGTACACGCTTTCCAAACTCTCCTCATATCGACCCTACTTCTCAACGTTATTTTACATTCCAAATTTCAAGTGTTTAGCTCAATCCATTCGCATGCTACGAAATTGTACCAAATTTACTTTTCGGATAGTTATAGTTCGAATTTCCAAAAAACCTTTAGTACATCTATCCTACAGTCAATCAACGACCACCAACCCAAATTTCAGAGTTCTAGCTCCACCGGTTCGCCAAATACAAATGGTATCACATTTAGTACTTTTTTGTACTTTTCGTACCGTTCTAGTACGAATTTCCAAAAACCCAGCCTTATCTGTCACCTTTGGACCAAGAGTGACTCTCACCCAAAATTTCAAGATTCTAGCTTCGTCTGGGCGTTGATGAATCGTTAAATCAGTCAGTCAGTCAATCACTTTACTCATTTATTAGTATAGATAAAAAAAATATTTTTTTTAATAATTTTTTTTTTAATAAAAAAAATATTTTTTTTTAATAATATTTAAAAAAATAATTTCTTAAAAATATTTTTTGTTAAAAAAAAATTAAAAAACATATTTTTTTTAAAAAAAAATTAATAAAAAATATAAAAACATATTATTTTTTTAATTTTATTAAATTATTTTTTTTATAATAAACTTGGATTTTTTTGAATTATTTTTTTTAATAATTTTGTTTTTAATAAAAAATATTTTTTTAATAATATTAAAAAAAAAATAATTTCTTAAAAATATTTTTTGCTAAAAAAAAAATTTCAAAAAACATATTTTCTTCAAAAAAAAAAAAAAAAAAAAATTAAAAAAAAAAAAAATTTTAAAAAAATATAAAAACATATTATTTTTTTTTTTAATATTTTATAAAAAAAAAATAATTTAATAATTTTTTTTTTTCATAAACTTGGATTTTTTGAATTATTTTTTTTTGTTATTGGAACAACAAATAGAAAAAACAAATACAAGTTGTAATGTTTTTTTTTTTTTATACAATAATTAAACATCGAAAAAAGACATAAAAACAGCTGAGTCACGAAAATTGTTGTCCCGAGGTGTGTGTGTGTGTGTGCGTGTGTACTTGAGTGGTATGCAAGAATGGATGTGTAATAACTTGTCTAACATCTCTTGCTCTAATTTTTGTTGCTTCATGTAATTACTTATTTTTTGTTAATGGTAATGGAGTGACGCAGCAAAATTTTGGTTTTCAAAAATATTTCTGTTTTTTTTTAATTCATAAATAATGAGGTGTAAGATTGATTTATGTCGGAAGTTTTAGAAATTTGTACTAATGTGTACTAAATTTGGTAAAATTTGAGTTGTGGGTGAACCGATAGAGTTGGAATCCTGAAATTTTGACTTAGGATCACTGTGGAGTTTTAGGATTGGGGTAGGTAGGAAGTTTTGGAAATTCGTACTACTGTGTACGAAATTTGGTACAATTTAAATTGTGGGTGAAGTGATAGAGTTGGAATCCTGAAATTTTGATTGGGGTATATAGGAAATAGGATTGGGGTATATAGGAAGTTTTGGAAATTCGTACTACTGTGTACGAAATTTGGTACAATTTGAATTGTGGGTCAACCGATAGAGGGGTGTTGGTTTGGGTTAAGTTGTACTAAGTTGTTGTAAGTCTTAAATTCGTACTACTGTGTACTAAATTTCGTACAATTTGAATTGTGGGTGAACCGATAGAGTTTGATTCCTGAAACATGGATTTAGGATCACTGCGGGGGTGTAGGATTGGGGTATGTAGGAAATTTTGGAAATTCTACTACTAAATTCGGGTGAATTAATAGAATTGGAATCCTGAAATTTGAATTTTAAATCATGCGTTGAGCAGGGTACTTATGGAAATAATGTGTGCTAAATGGAAAATTTATTAAAAATTTGGATTTGGGTGAACCTTTAGAGCTCGAATCATGAAATTTGGTACTAAATGGTACTCATATTTAATTTATGGTCGATATTAATGTGTGGATTGGTTTTTTTCAGGCATATGCAGTTTATATCTAAAAATAAAATAATATGTTTATACATTATTAAATATTTCCTACATTCGCTAACGATGTTGCGGGCATATGCTAGTATATATATATATATATATATATTCGTCCGATTTAAAAGAAATGGTGCACCAAAGTCCCTATATATCTTTCGATTTGCACAAAATTTGGCATAGCGAACTGAATTAAGTGTAGAATGATGTGTGCTGAGTTTCCTGAAAATCAGTTCAGATTTAGATATAGCTCCCATATATACATTCGTCTGATTTTATGTGAATGGTGTACAAAAGTCCCTATAAATCGTTCGGTTTGCACGATATTTGGTACAGCGTACTAAATTAAGACCACAATGATGTGTGCTAAATTTTGTAAAAATCGGTTCAGATTTAGATATAGCTCCCATATATATTTTCGTCCGATTTAATGTAAATGGTGTAACAAAAGTCCCTATATATCTTTTGATTTGCACGAAATTTGGTATAGTGTATTGAATTAGGCCTAGAAGAATGTGTGTTAAGTTTCCTGAAAATCTGTTTAGATTTAGATATAGCTCCTATATATATTTTCGTCCGATTTTATGTAAATGGTGTACAAAAGTCCTTATAAATCGTTCGATTTGCACGATATTTGGTACAGCGTACTAAATTAAGACCACAATGATGTGAGCTAAATTTCGTAAAAATAGGTTCCGATTTAGATATAGCTCCCATGTATAGTTTTGGCCGATCTTATGTAAATGGTGTACAAAAGTCCCTATAAATCGTTCGATTTGCACGAAATTTGGTACAGCGTACTAAATTAAGACCACAATGATGTCTGCTAAGTCTCGTAAAAATCGGTTTCGATATAGATATAGCTCCCATGTATAGTTTTGGCCGATTTTATGTAAGTGGTGTACAAAAGTCCCTATTTACCTTACGATTTGCATGAAATTTGGTATAGTGTATTGAATTAGGCCTAGAAGTATGTGTGTTAAGTTTCTTGAAAATCGGTTCAGTTTTAGATATAGCTCCCATATATATTTTCGTCCGATTTAATGTAAATAGTGTACAAAAGTACCTATATATCTTTCGATTTGCACGATATTTGGTACAGCGTACTAAATTAAGACCACAATGATGTGTGCTAAATTTCGTAAAAATCGGTTCTGCTTTAGATATAGCTCCCATGTATAGTTTTGGCTGATTTTATGTAAATGGTGCACCAAAGTCCCTATTTATCTTTCGATTTGCATGACATTTGGTATAGTGTATTGAATTAGGCCTAGAAGAATGTGTGTTAAGTTTCCTGAAAATCGGTTCAGGTTTAGATATAGCTCCCATATATATATTCGTCCGATTTTATGTAAATGGTGCACCAAAAACCCAAAGTTAGGCCGATTGACACAAAATTTTGCACAACGTACTGAAGGATTCCATCTATTGAATATACCCAAAAAGGTGAAGGGTATCATATAGTCGGCCCTGTCCGACTTTACTACTTTCCTTACTGTTTTTTTTAAAGATAAGAAAATTCAAGTTCAGTGGAAAATTGTGATAAAAGTTTGTATTTTTATCGAAGTACACTAAAGGGGGGAGGGGAGCCTTAAAGGAATTCTGCAAAATCATGTCATAAAAATATAATTTCTATACCCGTTTTTCGGTTATTGTATAGTTTTCATGTTTAGTTGTTGTTCTCGTCAGTCAGAGTCACACAAGAAATTTGATAGATATCGTGGTTAAATAATTATGGCACTGCTTGAGGGCAGTTTATATATATATAGAATACTTATAGAAGTGAGATAACATTTATATGGATATGACGTCAAACGCCCAATTGGGATAGGGAAAATATCAAAAAAAAAAAAAAAACTATAATGGGAACCGTTGGAGTTAATTTCAGTATACCCATTATGTGTGAGATTTTTTAAAGATTTTTTTTTCAAGTTTGTACAACTTAATTTTTTAAAAAAATATTTTTTCAAGTTGACACAGATTTTTTAAAAAAAAAAATTTTAGGAAATAAATGATTATTTAAATTCAAGTTAATTTTTAAATCGATAATTTATAATTTTAATCGTTTTATTTTTTCTTGCAGATTTTGTACAAAATAGGATTAAAAAATGACTTCACCGGAAGAGCGAATATCAACAAATGGTAATTTATACAAAAAAATATTTTTTTTTTTTTTTGGAATATATTTAATATTCTGACACACGACTCTTTAAAATTTGAAAAAAAATTGTTGTAATATATTTAATATTTTTTTTTTTTGGAATATATTTAATATTTTGGGAATATATTTAATATTTTGGCACACGACTCTTTAAAATTTAAAAAAAAAATGTTGGTAATAAAATAAAAAAAAATCTATATCGTATTTCATAATTTATTTTCCCAATATCACAACAAGTTATGTATAGAATTGGAATTTCCATAATCCATTAGTAATAATTTTCTATTGTATATACACATTGATAGATATGCCCTGAAAATACTCTTCAAAGACAAAAAAAAAAAAAACAGTAAAACCTCAATGAAAAAAATTCAAACAATATTCTTCTTTATTTAGAATTCGATTTCGATGTGTCCGTTTGTATCAGGTTTCACTGTCTAATTATTTTATAATAATATTATTATACAATATACATAATATCCATATCTATGTATATGTGTGTCTGTGTGCAAAGGATAAACAATACATTTGAAAAAAAAAAACAATCAAGCAACGAAAAGGAAAAGTCAGCCAACCAACCAATCATTCCACCTCTCCAACCCAAACAAGCATTCCTGCCAACACAAACCTCCCAACCAAACCACCCAACCATATCTAACTGCCTTAACCTTCTTATTCTTCTTCCAACCAACATTCTCGGCTTTGCTTCGGTTTTATTGATTTTTTTTTCGTTTCACATCTAAATCTATTTTTAGACTATTACTTTTGCCTTCAGCAAGAAGAAGGAAAGAACGAACACTTGAATGCCATTGAAAATAATAATAATAAAATATCCAACAGAAGGAAGCTAAGCAGGCAGGCAGAAGCCTGCTTAGACACCCAACCAAGGAATATCACACACACACACATACACACACTTGTTCTACACACAATTGTGTTTTTTTTCCGAGTGGTCTGGTGCCTGAATTTGTCTTTTTCGAGATTCCTTTTTGTGTTTTCCTTTCACGTTTTCTGCTACACAAAAACTTTTCCTTGTTTTCTAACAACAATACTACAGACATGCTTGCAGTTGAGTAACTTTGTCAAGTTCAAACGGGGGATTTTTTTGTTACTTAAATTCTTTCTTTCATTTTCCTAAAGAAATTCTTTAAAAAAATATAGCGACTTGAAAAAATTCCAAAATGTTGAGTATTTATATTTTTTATATTATTATTTTTTTTTAAATTTTTTTTATCAAAAAATTTTATTTATTTTTTTATGAAAAAAAAAATTCCATATTTTATTTTTTTTTTTTTGAAGTGACAGTTTATTTTATTTTAATTTTTTTATAATATTTATTTGTATTTTTTATGTATTATTTTGTAATAAAATAATTTTAATTATCTTTTAAATCCATAAAAAAGCATTTGAAACACCTCTAAAATAGCAGCATTCATCTTAAACCACAATAAACTCCAGTTATATCCACCTCTCCCTACAAAATATGCCTCTCTTTGCAAAATTCATCTCACTGCCTTATTTCATTTCACTTTCATTACCATAACAATATGCTGTGTGAACACATCTGTCTGTTATTATTACTTCAACAGTTAGATTATATTTACCATATCAACTCATCTTTAACACTCAGTCACCACTACTCCCTCTCGCTCCCCCTCTCTCTCTTGCCTTTGGTTTTCACAGATGACTTTTGATTTATATCTTTTATAACAGCATTACAACAGTCAGGGCTTAGGGCTCAGTCTCTGTTCTGTCTCTGCTCTCAGCTCTCTGCCAACGTCTTTGCTTTGCTGCTTTGTTTTGTTTTTTCCCGATGTTTGTTTTCATTTCCATATATTTTGGGGTTTTTTCATGATGGTGATGATGTACTTGCTGTTGTTATTGTTTTGTTTTCTTTCCCTAATACATTACATTATTACCACTCACACACACACAGCCAGCCACCCACTAGCTCTATCATACATGTATGTACACCATGTATGTACACTCATTAAATTACACTCCCACTTTTTTCTCCATGTTGTAGGTTAAGGTAACACAATGATAGCAACGGTAGTGCCAACGAGAGAGTGTGAGTGTTTGTTCGTGTTTAGTCGTAGAGTAAGAGTCTAAACGCAACCATAGAGTCTAGAGTCAGCGACAGTCGTTTGCCGTGTGTTTCTTATAGGCAACGGGAAATCGCGACGGCTGACGTTCGCGTCTAGCGGCATGACGCTAGAATAGATTTTATTCATTTTTGTTCAGCGTCATACTCAAAATTTCTCTCTTGCTCTCAATTGAGTTGCCATATTTTAGGTAAAAATCAACAGTGCTACCAAATTTCAATGAGAATTTATATCAAAACATATGGCAGTGCCGTTAAAAAAACAAATATTTTCAAAGATTGTGGATGTTTTTTAACGAATTAATTATAAAATGGAAGAAAAATAATTTTTTCAATAATTTTATCCAAGTTCCTTGACATTACTGTTTATTAAATAATAAATTGATTTTGGTTTGCACAACGTAAAATTTTCTGTCAGAAAATGAAAACATATAATTGACATTTTGTGCCGCTAACGCCAACTCTTCCGTTTGGTTTTCACGCCGGCGAAAAAGAATGACGCTGACTCGTGACTCTCTGGTTGCGTTTAGACTCTAAGGCGACAAGTGCTGTTCGTGGCTTTGTGGTCTCTGCTCTGTAGTTCATGTTGTTGTTGTTTGTATTTGGATAAAACAGCCGTTAGGCCATCATCGGCAGTGATGTGCAAATTATAACAAGAAAAAGAAAAACAACAACAACGACGCAATATTTGTTATGTGTGGGGGGTTTTGCTAACACCCTCACACACACACATACACCACATCTCACAGTTACCTTGCCTCACTACTTCTGCCTAATGGCGGCGTCTTTTAGCCTGTGGTAAACAAGGAAGCAAACAAACAAAAAACAAGTAGAAAAAATAGAAAGAAGAAGAAAACAAAAACAAAATAACCGACGTTCTTGTTGTTTTCAATGTTAGGTTAATGTTACAACCAACCGACTAACACATACACACACACATATTTTTCTATATAAATAACTGTCGTTTATATATCCAACCTATGTTTGTTCGAGTGTGTGTTTGCCTTTGTCCTTCAGAATTTTGTTGGTTATTTTTTGCTCTTGCTGTCCTTCTCCACTTTTCCGGAACTCAGCACAACGGAAAATGGTTTGCAAATGTAATATTTTGTTGTTGTTTTCTTTCTTGTTTTTTTCTTAAAAACTGTGTTATTTTCCGCTTAGGGTTGCCATATGTGTGGGAAAAATATCATTTAAAGGGGGGGGGGGGTTAATAATAAATCTGTTTATATAGAAAAGGGAAATTTTCTTTTATAATATAGAAGAGGGTGGCCTATAGAAGGGACTTTTCTATAAATTAATAGAAGCGGTACGACCTGTATACTGTAAAAAAAGGTTGATCCTATTTTGTACCATAGACAAAGTTTGAAATTGTATATACCAGAGGAAGAGATTGGGATTAAAGTAGAGGGTGGCATCCCATCTACGCTATAGAAAGGGTGGAACTTTATTATTTTACATCTTCCATATTATAGAAGAGGTGGTACCTCATCTATCCCATAGACGGTGTTGGAGATTTTCTACGCTTCAGAAGTGGTAGCACCTCTTCTATAATACTGAGGAGGTAGGACTTCTTCTATACAATATGTAAAAAAGGTTAGGAAATATTTTTTGTTAGGTTTATAATTAAAAAATGTGCTTTGAATCAAATCCGTTTCAGGCAATTTGGAGTCGATCGACAAATGTCCGCCTGGTTGTCTGTTTAGTGACTGGTTTGCACGATAATTCTCGAAGGGATTAACCAATCCCATCAAAACTTTGCACATCGTAATATTTCTTCCAAACATAAATGAAATTTGAAGGTGGAGGATATTGGTCCTCTCCTTCTGGTACCTCCCACACAAAATTGTCAAAAATTGGCTAAAAATTAATTTTATTATATCAGGTGAACTGAGTAAACAAGTTGAACTAAACATTGCGCAACCTTATATTTTACCTATACTAGATAAAGTCCGCAGATGGGACCCATCAGTCCACTCTTTCAGGTACCTCCCCCACAAATTTCGAAATTTTAAAAATTGGTATATCAACCAATATCATTCAAACTTTGCACATTGCGATATTTTTACCTAACCTAGACCTATCGGTCCACTCCTTCAGGGACCTTACTCACAAAGTGTCAAAATTTTGAAAAATTTCTTAATCAAATATTGAGCGGATGCGTTCAAACACTCCGTATAGTAATATTTTTAATAAACCTAGATCAAGTCCAAAGATGAGACACATCGCTCCACTCCTTCTTGTAACTCCCACACAAAATGGTCAAAATTTTCTAAATTTTCAAAATTCGTTAATCCCATATGAAACAAACGGAATATCAAATATCATTCAAACTTCGCACAAGGTCATATTTGTGCCTAGCCTAGATGAAGCCCAAAGATTAGACCCATCGCTTCACTCCTTTTGGTACCTCCCAAACAAAATGGTAAAAATTTGTTAAACCAATTTCAAGCGAATGGAATGTCCAACTGTAATCAATCAGTTTACGCCCACAAAATAAATAAGAAATTGGTGTCTGTCAGTAGTCATACGTATCCATTCCCCATAAATTGTGTTGGCTGGCGTATAACTTCTGTCAGTAGTCATACGCTCTATAGTTCATTTAATTTTTTTTAAATTCTCGTTTTTTGACTACTTAAATTTATTTAAAATTAGTTTTTTGTTATAATATTTTATTTTTAATTTCAATATTTTTTTAATTTTAAATTCCAATACCATTACCACAGCAACCTTCTAGTTTCAGCCGTTTTGTCGTCTGGGCGGCCGATCGATTCATTAAGTCAGTCGGAACCTCACCCACCAACTCACAATTCAGACCTTGCCTTGCACAAAATAGTTTCAGCCGTTTTGTCGTCTGGGCGGCCGATCGATTCATTAAGT